TGGAGGCAGCGCAGATCTGGGCGGGAGCGAGCGAGCGAGCGAGCGGAGCCTCCAGGAGGCGGTGATGAGGTAACCGCCCGCCCCTCCCGCCGGCCCCTCCCCGCCGGGACGCCCCTCTCGGCCAGGGCCGTGGGAAGGCAAGGTGACTGGGGCTCCGGGAGCCGGGTGGGACCCAGCCCCCTCTGCGAGCGGGGCTCCTCTCACCGCCCGAAAATAGAAGTCCCTCGCCGCCCACGTCCGCGCCCGCGCCCGCAAACAGCTTCCCGGCTGGCACCAGACAAAGCCCGGCCAGCTCGAGTCGGGCCGCCCGGGGTCGCAGGCGGCCCCAGCTGCGTGACCTTGGCTGAGTCGCCGCACTGCGCCGGCTCTGCCCTGGCATCCGGCCTCCGTCAAAGGTCGACACCTTTTCTTGAAAACCCACTATGCGCCAATTCTAAATGGTTACCTAGTGATGCCTGGACTATTACTTGATCCTTGAATCTGCAGCCTCAACCTGGTATCTCCTTTTGAGAAGAGAGAAAAAAAGGCAGAGAGAACTCTCCAGGACTGGGGCGGGCTGTGGCCCCTCCCACAAACTTGTGATCCCCTGGGAGGAACCCTCTGTCTTCCTCCTGCCCACAAGGGTAAGTGGCCATCACCCCTGGGCAAGGAGGGGCACAGGCCCCAGGTCACACCAGGTCACAGCAGCCCCGCCACAGCTTCGCCCTTCATTCCTTTCCCAACAAGACAGAAAGATCCAGACACTGGTCAGCACCACCTGCGTCACTGCTACGGCCAAGACTTCTGCCGGAGTCTTCACACGCAGCTTGCCTCAAAGTCTTCTGCCTCCAGACCAGACTCACACTCAATCCCCTCTCCCTGGAACCAGTGAAGCTCTTCCCCTATCATAGCTGGACAGTCTGGGCTTGCCCAGTTCCCCCACCCCCTGCCTCTGCTCACTGCACCCCCTTTTAGTGAAGGGCTCCCACCCCCTGACTAAATGCCCAGATGGTGAGTGAAATGCACACACTTCTCTTTGTTTCTGTGCTGACCAAGAGTCTTATTTCTTATTTCTTCCTCTCTTCAACAAATATTCCTAGTCTCACTGCTTGCCAGAATGATGACATGGATTACAAAGAAAAATAGTCTGGCCTTAGGACAGAAGGTTCTAGAACACATGGGATCCAGGAACCGTAAGGGCACAGTCCACATGCAGGGAGCAGAGGAAGGAGAAGTGGGGAAGGGCACCCTTTCCGGGGACACATGGCGGCAGCAGGGGTGCCTCTCTAGAGGGGCAGGTGTGTTCTCACCCTCTCCTGCTGGATGGGGACAGGGATCCAGCTACTAGAGAGCTCAGAGCCACACCTCTGGCCTGGGGCCTTCCAGGTCCCAGTAAGTCAGGACCCCTGGCTTCATCTTTATCTGCTGTGGTTTTTTCCTTCACCTGATCTTCACCCACATTTCCTAACTTTCCAGAATTCTGTCTTTTGGAAGCTACTACTTCAGTTCCTTTGGGGAACAGGGCAGAGAGTAGATCGAGCCCGCTTCCCTTCTGCTCCTCAGCAGGCTGTGGGACTGACATTAGGTTGGGGATGGGCTTCCTCGAGCCCTTGAGGAGCCTGGAGCACCCCTCGTCTTGGTCCCGACCATTCCTGAGAAGCAGGCTCAGAGCCATTGGGAACAGCAGACATGCATTTGTGGGGTGCGTGAGGCTCCGCTGGTCCCAGCATGATCTCTCAGTGTTGTTTCCGATTAACACTGACACTATGGACAGGAATTGTCCCACAAAGCCCTGCGAATTCCTTGGGGGTGGACATTCTTGCATTAGCTCCACTACCATCAGCTCCATTTATCAAGGGCCTGTGGTGTGCCAGGTCCCGACCACAGCTGTGTGCTCACTGAGGCTCAGGGGGATGCAATGCTTCACCCAAACCATCTAGCAGGAGAGAGGCAGCACAGGGTCTGAAGCTAGAAACTTGGGCCAGCAACTCAAGTTTCTGAGGAGCCCAGCTTCATCTGGGCGTCAGGATGTGGTCAGTGGAGACTGTGGCCCTCTGGGGAGGAACTCTGAGGAAGCCTTTGTCACCACTGCAGACTGAGCTGGGCTGGTGCCAGGTTCCCCCACAGCCAGAGAGCTTGAGCTGCCTGTCTGCCTAGGAGGTAAATTTTGAACCTCTCCCATTGGTCCCCTCACTCCATCTCCCAAGGAGAAGCAGCCAGGGTGCTCCCATGCCCCTTCCCTACTCCCCCCAGTGCTCAGAACACTCACCCAATGCACCCAGGCATCTCCTTCAGCACACAGAAGCCAGTCTGGGCACACTGCCTGCTCCCGTGGCTCGGGAGGGAGACAGGTATGCAGCCAGGCCCAGACAGGGGGACACAGCAGCACTGAGCTAGTTCAGGCCTGGGGCGGAGGACACCCAGGGAGACACCAGCCTGGCTACAGATGGGCGGTCGGGAGGGCCTGGTGAAGCACCTGAGTCGATTCCTGGTGGGCCCAGCAGGGGCTGAGGTACTGGGCGGATGCAGACACCAGGTGGATGACTACATATCCCTCCCTCACTGCCCACACCAGCACCAGCCAGCTGGGCACCCCCCACCATCAACCCTGGCTACACAGCTTCTTCCAACTGATGCTGCTCCTTCCCTGGGGCCAAGCACTCTGGACTCTCCCAGCTCCCAGTATTCACTCCGGACTGAGTCATGCTGGTCGGTCCTGACGAAAAGCATCGTCCCCGACAGTAACTCTCCTCCCCGAATCCTGAGGGGAGGTGTTCCTACGCTCAGGTGCTTTGCACCGTGTGTGACCGTGGCAGAGGCCTAACGTCTCAGGCTGAGTGCAGCTGGTCAGTCTCCTGAAGACCAGGATGTGCTCCTTATAGCCATCAGGAGCAAGAAGGAGCACAGGGCAGGGCTTCCAGGCCTCTGAAGGAAGATTCCTGACAGTGGAAACCTCAGGGGGAGTCATCTGCGCAAGTCAGTTAATCTCCCTGAGACTCAGTTTCCTTACCATAAAGGGGATGACAACAGTCTTGGCTTCACAGAATTGTTGCGAATGAAATGATATGAAATGAAAAAAACAAGGCAACTTAGTAAGCTAAATGGTGGGCAAAATTTGTATGTAAATAGATCCAAGCTACGCTCTGCTGGAGGAGCAGGCGTGGACTGGGGTACAGATGTGGGACGGTGCGCTGCTTCTAGCTCTGTCCACTGGGAGGGGCCAGAAGTACCCCTGGAGCGGCAAGCGCACCCCACACCCAGTCTCTATCCCCAGAACAGGGACCCAGGTCCCCTGGAGGAACGGCTGCTAGGGCGAGGCAGGACAAAGCTGACCTGGAGGAGCTCTGTGCTGGGGAGCGCGCAGCAGAAACAGGACAGGGCAGTGTCGGAGCGACCCGCCTGCTCGCAGCTCCCGGTGGCCGAAGCTGGAACGATTTCAACAAAACAATGTACTTTTGGATTAAACCCAAATTATAAAATAAATACCCATGTGTCCAAACGATGTACATGACTGACTAAATGAAGGCAGAAGGACAAGCAACTCTTCCTCACAGAACCCCAAGTAATTTCGGAAGCAGCTCCCGCCCCCCACTCTCTCCATGGGTAGGAAGCAGCGGCTGACCCACCAGCAGGCCGGGAGAACGGGGTGCTCCTAGATATTGGCAAGGTCACCACAGAGTCCGAGAAGCTGTCGCAGACCAGAGGAGGCTGAGACAGGATGACAACAGGGGACGTGGGATCTGAGAACAGACGGAGGACTTGAGCGGGGAACAAGTGAAAGCTGAATCAAGTCTAGAGTTTTGTTTCAGAATTACACATTATGTAATTTGTTGTTTTATAATACAAATATATTTCTCCTTTATGTTGCTGTATCATACAAAGTGCTGTTGGTATCCTAAGTGTATTTTGGACATATGGAGAAGATCCCCAAGTAGTGAATACTCACGCACCTATATAAGAATAGATGTGCATGCAGGAGCTTGTAAATTAAGAAAACAAAATATTACAAAGACCTAAAAGGACGCACGAATCATGAATCAACAGCAAGGATAGATTCCTGTATTGGGATATAAAGATTATTATTATTATTGACATGTCAACTCCCCTAAGTTATTATAAAGTTATATAATTTTATTATATAAAAAGTTATTATAATCCAAATAAAAATAATAGCCTCGATGAAAAAGGACAAATTAGTTTTAAAGCTCAAATGGGACAAACGGGGTAAGAAAGAGCATCGGCACTGAACCATGAGATGTAAAGGTTTGATATATTTTTTTAAACAGTGTTCAGAGGGCAGACAAATCCCCTGTTCATAACAGAGTACAGAAAAGCACTCACATAGAAGTGGAAATTTAGTATGTGATAAAAATGACATTTCAAGTTTGTGGGGAAAGATGAATTATTCAGTAAATGGTGTGGAGACAACTTGGTAACCATCTGGGAAAAGAGCTGGATTACTACCTCACTCCTAGCAGAAAGCCCAGATGGAATAGGACAGACATGCAAAAACTAAGATCACACAAGTATTAGATGAAGAGAAAACTATATAAAAAACAATTCCAGTATGGAAAAATCCAGAGAAGGAGTAGGTAAGTAAGCACTCATGACCTTATGCAAAAATGAACAGGAAAGATGAAGGCCGTGCACGGCAAAGGGCACACCCAGCTCAGAAGCTCAGACGGGGGCGTAAGACCCATCATCAGTTTGGGGCACAGACACACTGAGGTGGCAGGGCGCAGGGGGACAGGCACCTCACTCCAGCTGGCGGGGGTGTAAATTGGAAACTTAGCAACAGTTAACAAAATGATGGTTGCATCTACCTTTGACCCAGCGTTCCCACCTGAGGGCTTTATGTAGGTAGGCACTGCCTGCAGCGTCACCTGTCTGCAGTGACGTCAGGGGGACACGGCTCACGATGGGGCTGTTTTCCCTGCAGTGGAAAACCACGCGGCTGTGACAATACACAGGGTGCTCCCCGCAGTCGACTACAGTGAGAAAGGCTCCACCATAGTGTGACCCAAGGGCTACACTATGGACAAGAAGAATAAATGTAATCACCCTTTGAAAAGTAACGTTGGTTCCTCTGGGGACAGGGGTAGAAGCCTTTTGGATTCTTAACGCATTATTGCATCGAAACAAGAACTAACATCTAAAACGGAAGATGCTTATGTCCTCTCTCCCAGCAACTCGGGCGGGATCCTACCGCCAGGGACAAGGCCCTACGTGGGACCAAGCACCGGGGATCGGATTCTGAGTGGACGCGCGAACACACTGGGGGCGTGGCGGGGAGACTTGGGTGACGGGAGCCAAGAAATGCAAGTTCTGGTGGCACCTCGAGTGCGTGTGTGCCCACCTGCTTAGTGAGCAGCTCCCTGGGTTTGCTGGTATCCTTGCATAGGCTACTACTGAAAATCAAAGTCTAGAAACAAATTTTGAGAAAACAGAACTTTCTGCAAGGGTGGGAAAGCTCTATTCTTGGTATGGCTTCTCTTCTAAGTTCTTTATTTTTTCGTGAGATTTATTTATGCATACAAGAACTGGGGTACAGACCAGAGGTGTGGGGGTGGGGGGAAGAGGCTTCACCAGAGACAGAGTGGGGAGCAGAACAGGCAGATGGCCCAAAATGCACTGCTGAGGGGAGCAGCGGGTGAGGCCCCACCAGGTGGGTCAGCTCCCTGGCCTGGGGTTGAGCTTGTGCCGCAGGGGCTGCAGACAGCTTCACCGTGCTGTGCTTTGACCCCTTGGGCCACCAGGGAGGACCCTCTTCTAAATTCTTACATCACTCGCTCCAACCCCATCCCTCAAACCAAATAAAAACAAAACCAGCAAACTGTTAGGTGAAGATAAAAGATGTAAAATGCGGTCACACCGCAGATGCAGTGCCTGGCACACAGGGAGCCATCAGACTGGTCACCCAAACACTGCCTCCCAGAAATAACTGGTTACTGTTTTGAATTCCCAGACTGGGGGAGGGAGGATGCTGGTTATTCGTCAAGAATCCCAAGGCGTTAGGCCTGGAGAGCAGGGAGGCCTGAAGACATCAGGAGGCAGTGCCATGAGGGGGGAAGGAAGCACCCGAAGGGGCCCTGTCTGGGGTGAGGGTGGGACAGGGAAGCGGAAGGGCACAGACGGACACCCCACACACTGGTGCTGGAGGCCGGCTGCATTCCCTTGTTTGCCTGGCAGTGATGTGGTAAGGCCTCAGCAACTGGGGCGAGCAGGCGCTCTGCCTCGGGGCCTGAGGATACGGCCACTCGCTGGGCCTCGTGCAAGGGGGACAGTAAGGTCCCTGAGGCCCTAGGTGGCTGAATCAGAGCGGTGGGGTGGGCAGCGATGCAGCAGTGTACTCACTGGGTGTCTGAAGGGGAGCGAGGCCCCCAGCAGGTCAGAGGTGGCAGGCAACACAGTAGGCCAGCGTGGGCGTCTTCCTCCTCGGGCACCAAAGGCCACTGCTCTATTTCCTAGCGGACAGGATTCCAGCTGCATCAGTACGGGGTCTTCTGAGGCAGGAACCTTCAGTGCTGAGAACTGGGGTTGTCCCATCAAGGGCCTTGGCTGGGTCTAGACTGGTCCCTAGGCCAGTAGGGTCATGCCCCAGGGGTCAGAGGTGGGATCAGTGACCTCGCTGGCATCCAGCAGGTCAGGCGTCTTCTTTTTAGCACCTGGACAACTCAGGAGGCAGCAGTGTTGCGCTGGGTGCAAGGAGCATCTGGGGCTGAAGCAGGCGATGGCTCCAAGCTGCTCATCCCTCAGAATAAGGCTGACGGTCACCAGCCACAGTCCTGAAGCCGAGAACCTGCCCAGAGTTTGCCCTTCCCAGGATGAGGCTAATGCCGGGTGGGGGTGCACGATATCCTCAGTGGCGCTGGGCCGCAGCCAGCAAAGTACCCGCACCCAGTGGGCCACAGCTGCAGAGTGGGAGGAGCCCGCGCAGACAGGCCCGCCCACGCCACCTCCCCACACTGCCCCATCGCAGCCCCCCACCGCTCCCAGGAGCCTCCCCAGGAAAGCAGCCGTGGAAAACCCCTCCCGTCCTGGCCAACATCGGAGACTGGGGTGGGTTTAGAGCAAGGCAGGAGCCGCTTGGCCTCAGAAGCCGTTTCTCAGAGCAGAAGGGCGGGCACGGCCCCCACGAGCTCCTGAGCCCTTGACCACAGGGGCCCAGAACTGCTGCCCACCAGAGCCTCAGGGTCTGACACACTGGCTTGGGACACACTTGATGTCATTGCTTTTATTCACTTTCTCTTTGTGAAAATAAGAGTAAACATACAATATAGATGCTCTATTTTTATATATTAGAGTTACTGCAGGGCTCAGAAAACCATCCTCAGCCACGCGGGAGCAGCTTCCAATTCTGACATTTGGTGGAGGGGAAAAAAGTGCCCGTGACTGCCAAAAGCAGAATCTTTCTTTATTATTAAACAGCAGTAACAGGAAAACCTAATGCTCTGTCAGACACACTGAAACTGGGGGGCCAGGGAAGGGCAGCAGTCACTAAGGAGAGACCCCAAAGAAACCCCACGCGGGAAGAGCCACTTGCCCCGTGCCCACCCCGCAGCCCGGTCTCTGCTCCAGAAGCCCAGGGGACACCAGGACTGTCACAGGCAGTGACGGTCCTCAGGGGCAGGAGGGGACGGGGGTGTAGCTGTCAGGGGAGAGGAGTCCGGCGGGGGCTCTGGGGGCTTCGGCCTCGTCTCTCCTGGGCCAGTCGGCGCTTGGGGGCCGCAGCCCGCTGGCAGGACTGCAGCCTGGCGGGCGCGGGGAGGCAGGCTAGCGGTCGAGGCCCTGGGACACCCAGCCCCTGACAGAGTAGCTCTCCTGGAAGCATGGGCCCCGGTGACCATGGGCGCTCCAGGAGGCCTGGCCAGGACCAGTCCACAAGAGGGGCATCGAGGAGGGCCACTGACACCAAGCCAAGGGAGCCTGAGCAGCAGAGGGGCTTCCCAGACGGGGCGCCCTGGGTTTCCCCTCCAGCTTCTGTTGCTGCTCCGGCTCTGTCTCCTTTGGTTCCTCCTCGCCTGACCCTAACTGTCAGCAGCAATGCGAGAGGGGAGTCCGTGACAGGTGCACTGAGATTTCACTCCCGGAAGGGTGCTGCTGGGCCGGAGGGCCCGCGTGGGCCCTGTAGTCAGGACCAGCAGCCCCGGCGGTGGCTCAGAGCGTGCCCGGCCCTCCCAGGGGAGGAGGTGATGCCACCCCACAGGGGCTCCTCGTGGGGGAAGCAGTAGGCGGGGGCAGGCGCCGGGCAGGGGCCTCAGTTCTTGAGGATGGTCTCATAGGCCTGGTACACATGCTGGGACACTTCTGGCGCTCGACACTTCAGGGACAGCTGCAGGGGAGACAGGTGGGGGACAGAATGCTCATCCCAGGGCGCCTCAGTGGGGGCAATATTTACCGGACAGGGAGGGGACTCGAGGGGGAGCGTGGCGGGCACACGTGGCCTGGGGCAGCAGCAGCTGCGCCTTCAGCAGGTGCGTGGCGGAGCAGAGGCGGCGCCACAGCAGCCGAGCGTGCAGCAAACACACTGCAGCCCACACACCTGCTGTGAGCCGCCCGGCGCTAGGCAGGCGGCGTGAGTCACGGGGGGCTGTCGGAGAGCCCTGTCCTCACAGCTCCTGGGGCGGGCTGGGGCCCTAGGAGCAAGGGCTGCGGCAGGAGGTGTGTGCCTGGGGAGACACCGGGGAGCTGAGGGTCCTTCCCAGTCTCCTGCACAGGAGCAGGCAGGCCGGAGACTTGGCCTCCGCGCTTGCTGCGGCGCGGGCCTGGGGAGCACAGAGGCCAGAGCCACCGCCTCTGCTGAGATCGCGCTTCGGAGGGGACCTGCCGGGGGGAGGGGCGAGGGGCGCCCAGGGAGCCAGCAAGTGGCCACAAGGAGCTCCCGGTCTCCGTTAAAGACCTCTGTGCTGTACGTGTTGTGGGAAGCGGCTTCGGGCCCTCACTCGGGGCCACAGGTGAGGGAACACGGGGGTATCGGCAGTTTGCCTCCTGCAGTTTGTGTCTGCCCAGCCCTGGGGAGCAGCTGGGAGGAGGCAAGGTCAGAGCGTCAGGGCCCGCTGGGGTGTCAGTGTGGCTGGGGAGGGTGGACGGGACGAAGGAAGAGAAAAGCAACGCTGACCTCTAAGTCCTGCACCGGGCACCAGCGGGAGGTGGCACGCAGCTCCCAAACGCAGGGAGCCGGAAATGACCACTGAAGCCGCCACCGCAGCCTCCACCCACTCGGTGCCAACGCCGCCCGCGGGGCCCGGGGAGGAGCATCTGGAGGGCGAAGCCTGCCAGAAACTTGGGTGCAGGGGTGGGAAGCAAAGCCTGGGGCGCGCCAGGGGCTGGAATAGTGTCACGGCCGCCCGGACAGCCACCTGCTCCGTGGCCGTCGTGCTCTGACCGGGTCTGACTCAGGCTGGAAGGACGAGCTGCTCCGGATCCCAGGGGAGCACCGGGCCAGGGAGCGGCAGGCGGGCAGCCCGAGTCCAGCGATGCCACCGCAGGTCCCAATGTTACACAATGTTCCCACCCAACTCACTACCCGACAGAATCAAGTCGGACTATTTCTAGCGTCCCTTCCTGGGACAGAATTCTGACACTCGTGTGTGCAAGCTGGAAGGGACCCCAGGCGAGATGGGCTGGTAGAACCCCCCAACTGGGTTCCACCCCAGGCCTGGGAGGTGGGGAGCAAGGAAGGCTGCCCAGGACGGGAGGCTGGGGCCCAGGCTGGCAGGAGGACGGAGGCTCTCACCGTGAAGCTGGGGCTGCCCGGCTGGATGCGCAGCTCTGCCAGCACCCAGATGCCGTTGGTCAGCTTCAAGGACTGGTACAGCATGTCCTGGCCCTCCACGTTCCTCTTGGCAACCGTGAAGATGTTGCTGCACTGCAGTCTGCTGCTCACAGCCTCTGCGGGTCAGATGGCCGCGCGGTCAGAGACGGGAGAGGGCTGGGGGCACGGCAAGGGCAGTGCGGCCAGGGGTGGAGTGGGGGTTCTCACCCGCATTGAGGGGGCAGTCTCTGATCTGGAACTGAGCTTCATTTTCATTGGGAATGTCCTTCCACGTGGCCAGGAACATCTGCCGGTCTGGAGGGTGAGTGACGTGGGGGAGGAGACGGGACCCTCATAAGCTTGTGGCCTCACTCAACAACGCTCAGGAAGTAAAGGGTCTGGGGTGGCGGGGAGCGGGGGGTGCCACCTTCAAGTTGAGGACAGGCCCGCTTCCCTGAGCAAGCCCTCAACTCCGTGGAGCCGACCACCAAGTGCTGTTCCCAAAGACCCGCAGCTTCCAGCCTCACCTCCCTGCACCACATCTGTCTCCCGCTCTGTGCAGTGCGGCCGGCATTCGGCACTTCTGTGGTGACTGAGGGAAGAGGTGCCCAAAGTGCCCCGCAAAGCACAGGACTGAACTGTCTACACTGAGATGGAAGGTTCCTCAGGGGTTCTAACCAGGGTGCAGAGAGGAGTCCCGGCACACAGCACGGCACTGGGCCAGAGAACCCATGGGACGACTGCAGAGGCTGCAGGTCAGGCTGAGATGCAGGCAGAAAACCTACACGGCCTCTGCCAGGCCAGAGCTGGCCAGACAAGGCCGGGGAAGTTCCCGATGGCTGTAGGCTCTACAGAGGCTCTCAGATCCACAGGGGGGGCAAGACAATCCATCCATTCTGGGGAGCCTGGAGGCACCCATATTACTCACCCATCTTCCCGTCTTCCACAAAGAGGATGTGCAGTGGGTACAAGGTGCTGAAGTAGAAGACGTCAATGTTATTCTTCACAGCCACCTAGGAAGAAGGGGTTCCGGGTCCCTAGGCTTGATGCCGCCTCTGAGGTCCTCGGATGGGCCTGCTCTCTAAATCTCCTCAACAAGTTTCCTCACACTTCCTCCCTAGCGACCACATCCATCATTCCCTCCGAAAGCATCTCCTGCCATGTCTGTGGCCAAGAACTGTCCTGTGCTGACACCAGCTGGACCCCAGGTATTTCTACCTCGTCTCTCCCCTCGGGTTGACAGGCAGCTAAGGCCTGGGCTGTTGGGCCTTGCCCAGTACACACCTGAAGGTTGTTCAGAGGTTCCATCTTCATGACTGAGCCCACTGTGCTGAGAGGCAAGGAGATCTCCACAGTCTGGTTGGGGCTGAGTGGCGCATGGACCTGGAGGGGGGCGGCGGGAGCCAGGCCAAAGCTGGGGAGAGAGAAGCCCCATGGGATGGCAGGGAGAACAAGTGCTGACACAGGAGGGCAGCTCCTCTGGCTTCAGACCGAGGCATAAACCTCTCCAGCAAATCGGCCTCCCCCAGCCCTAGGCCTGCCAGAAAGACCTCCACTCTCAGCCCTCAACAGCCATGCAGACATGCGGAAAGAGGGCTGCTGCCTGAACAGCCCATCTCTGCTCCTCTTTCTCCTCAGGGCCAGGCACTGAGCAGGCCCAGGGGGGCAGTCTTATTTTGTCTGCCCTCAAGAGGCTCCATCTAATACCACGGACCTATAAGCTGCTTCTAACTCAAGAACTCTGTGATTGCCCAAGTCCCTGTTGCCAAATCTCTTCTCCCAGAAGGGATCTAAACATTCCAAGTGAGAGGGACACTAGGTTTGACTGTCTAGGCCAGAAATAGCCGGGTCACATGATTGCCAGAGAAAGGCTCAGAAGTTCCTATTTCTCAGAAAACAGTACAAGTTAGGAGAGGCTCCGTGAGCGTGAGAGACACCCCAGCCATAGGCTTCAGGAAGGTAAGTCACAACAGTACTGACTGGGGCCATGAACTGATGCTCACTGTACCAAGCAGGGGATCTGATATTATACCAATTTCTTATCCTCATAAGTAATAGCAACAGGTTTACATTCATATTCTAAGATATGAAGACTCAGGAAGGGGCAGCCATGACCAGACACTATGGGCGAGTGGCACTGCTGATATATGGAGCTTAAGTTGCCTGACTCCAGCCTGTGCTCTGCTCATGGCAGACGGGCCTCTTGGGAGACAACATGGGAGGCAGACCCTTGTGGCTCAGGTCTCCAGGCATTCCTGGGAGCTTCCCGACAGCCCACTGTGTGACCTGGGCTTTGAGCCCAGGTGTAATTACCTACAAACAGGGAAATGGCAGGCCTCACTGGGCCATCATGTGGCCCAAGTGACGCAATACTTCTAAAGCCCTTCGCACAGGGCCTGCTACCCAGCAAGTTTTCAACACACAGTAAGTTTGTTATAAATGACCATGGGTGTCATTCCTTAAAGCCCGGGGTGCTTCTGTGGCCTCTGGGGCCACCTGAAGTGGCTGCTACTATCCTCTCTGGTCTGAGGGTTGGGGAGGACCCTCTGGCCCACAGGGTCTCCCTGAGGAAGCAGCCCCTTCAGTCAACTTCTTAGAGGCTCAGTTTGCTCATCACTAGAGCCGCTCAGGAAGAAGAATCATCAAGAGAGGCTGCTTGGCTTCCTCAGAGAGCCCTAGCCCAGCTCACCCGGTTCAAGACCTTGATGGTGCTAGACAGGAGACCTTTCCCATTGACCCCTGCAGAGGAGCAGGTTAGGGGGCTGGGGGGAAGACAAACCTGCCTACTCAGAGGCCCTGTGTCATGGCTTAATCTTTCGACACATGGAGGAAGCCAACAGGTAGGGCCCTGAGATAGAGAAAGGGATCCACGCTCCTGTCAATGAGGGGTGCTTGACAAAGGTGGGCTCATAGGATGGAGCTGGGGTTTTTGTGAGTAAAACACTCTCTGCAGAGGAAGAAGGCAAAATAGGGGCAACTGCCCTATCCCTGTCAGATAACTGGAGTCCACAAAAAGAGGGGTGGGGTGCGTGGGAGAGGTAGGGGAAAGAAATACTTGAGAGGTCTCGCCCGAGTGTGGTTGTGAGCAGTACCAGTCTTCACCAGAAGAGACACACCAGGCTGGCCTGGTGGAGCTCACCTATTGCGATTGAACTGGATGGCAAAGTCAGTCATGACCTGCAGGGCCTTGTTGGTCAACTGTAGGTCCATGGAGATGGAGCCCACTTGGCGGGTGAAGGTGCCCGAGATCTCCAATCCCTTGGCCTTCATGGCCGGAAGCCAAACCTGCAGTGAACAGGGCAAAAAAGGGGCTGGGCTGTGCCTCTTCCTCCCAACTCAGCAGCTCCTGAGTGTCCTTTACCTCAATCTCTCTCTCCTAAGGGGCTTCCTGGATTTGCTGCACCTGCCTTTTCCACCAGGTGATGAGGAACACCCTACATGACCCTCCCAGGACAATGCGAGTATGGCTGTGTATGGTATGTCCAAGAGGCAAGCCGAGTCTTCAGAGGTAAAAAAAGGAACACTCAGGACATGGGGCTGAGGGAAGCGGCAAGACAAGTGGCCCTGCCACCTTCCTGATGGCCCAAGGAGAGCTGAGAGCCCAGAGGCATCCTGGGCTTGGACCAGAGCCTGAAGCCTCTCCAGCTGTCACAGCCTGTCCTCTCCTGCAGAAGGCAGCGCTGGCTTGAATTATGCACACTGACCTGACCAAGGATAAGTGCCTAAGAGGACCCCTTGCCTGGCAAGCTCTTAACTGCTTGCTTACCCTGTGACGTGATTCAGCTCCAGAGTCACAGCCTCCAGGAAGTCCACCCGACTCCTTCCCTATGTTCCTGCCCAGCGATGTGACAGCAGATAAATGTGTGTCTGTCTCCCCTGCACCCAGTCAGCTCTCTGTGGAAAGGGCTCCTCTATTTTTTGTTTTTCCATCCTATGACTTGGAGTTGGTGAGGAGCCAGTATTCAGGCAGTGTTTGCTGAGCAACACTGTAAGATTCTTACAGACGTGGCTCTGTCACCCCGCCTGACCAGCGAGGTGGAACCCGCGCCTCTCAGTCCCCAGGTGTGCAGGGTCCAGCAGAATTCCTTAGACACAACTAACCTTCATTCCATTCGGAGGACCAATGAACTGTCACCACCTACCAGTCCAAACACTTGAGGAACTCCAAGTTCTTGCGCAAGAGTGACCAGAAGGGTTGGAGAATGGATTCCCTCCACGGGGGGTGGGAAGCACAGAATGTGAGCCAGGCAATTCTAGGGAGTCGCAGCACTGCTTCCAGAGGAGGCGCACACGCACTGCTGGAGCCCTCCTGTGATGCAGCAGCAGTCCTGCTACGCTGCAACGTCCTCCAGGAGCTGCCCTATCACCTCTGACCTGGCGAGCCCTCACCTCTCATTTTCAGCTCTTCCTGTTGGGACACTCACCTGCCGCCACTCTGACAGAGCAGCGATGAACACACAAGCAGAGGGCCAGCTGACTCTGACAATCCAAGACACTAAGGTAGGCACACAGAAAGTTCTCGAACACTTTGTGGGGTAACCACGCAGGAGTCCGGAGTAGCGGCTTTGGTACTACTGCCCTCATTCAGTTCCAGACTCTGTCACTTACCAGCTATGTGACTTTAGGCAAAAGCACCCAGATTTCTCAACTTCAACATGGAAGTAACAGTACCACAGGCTTCCAGGAGGGCTGAGAGGGAGGGGGGCTGCGCCAGGCTCATGCAGTCCCCACACAGAGGTGCCGCTGCGCCAGGGCCCACGTTCCACCTGGGATCTGACTGCCACTGCCGCAGGGGCAGCACTCAGACCCTGTGAGGCCAGCGCAGCGTCTCTGGCTCACAGCCCTCTGGGTCATAGCTGCATCCTGTTCTCTGGGAAAGGGACCTCAGAAGAGAAAGAGGGGCTCTGGCTGGAAACAGAGAGCCAGAAGAGGCAGAGGCAGTGTCCGACCAGTGCTGTCAGGTGACCTGGCCAGGCCCATCAACTGCAGCTTCCTACTGCTGAGGACGGGACCGTGCCCTGCTTCTGCCAGACCTCCCTGCTCTCACCCCAAACTCAGTTTGCCTCCCTCTCTCTCTCTCAACAAACGGCCCCGCACTCACTTCCAGAGCCAGAATCACCCCCTCCTCATCAACCCCTGAAAGTTGCCATTCCTGCCCTATCCAAAGTCGCCTCTGCTTCCAAGTGTCTTCCCTGCCCAGCACACAGCAGTTCCTGCCAGTCGCCTCTCCAGGCTCCTTGCTTTGCTCCTCCCCGTCCAGCTCCCTACTACACTGTAGTCAGGGGCATCTAGCTTAAGTGAAATCTGGTCCATGTCTGCTTCAAACCTCCCAAGGTCCTGTTGCATAGGACAGAAAGCAAAAGCTCACAGCCTGGTGGTGTGGTCAACCTCGCAGCCGGTCAGCTAGCTTCCTTCCTCCCTACGCTAGCCTACCCAGCAGTCTCCAGGGGTAGCACCCTAGAGCACAGGAGGTGTCCACACCACCCAGAGGTTGGTGGGCTGTGGGCACGGATGCTGGGTGTACCAGGAGCAAGTGCCCAGCATTCCCTCAAGTATTTTCTGCATTTTCAACCTGCCCTTAATTGCCAGGCACCCAACCATGGTGAAAATCAAGGGACGCCTGTCCTGTTCCGTTGGGAACTTTCCTGGAGGCCGATCACCAGGAGAAGCCACTGGTCATATGGCTCAGGCGCGCTCAAGACACTCAGTTATAAGCACCAGCCTCAGTTGCGGTGTCACGGCGACTGTGCTGTGGAGACACCTGATGACCTTATCACATTTTCTGGGCTGGGCACGCCCAAGCCTCCACAATGCTGAAGCACGTGACCTAACTTTCTTCCTTTCTCAGGTCCTTTACGCAGTGATAGCATCTCACTGGTTTTGACTTTCCTCAGGTAGGCGGTGCAGTCCACAAGGCGCATTTAAGGAAGGGAGGGGGCAGCATTACCCATGAGAAACAGGGCAGTGCCCTGCTGGCACAGAGAATTACTGCCAGCTACCTGGAAGTGCAAGGCTCTTCTTCCCTTACTTCCAGGCCTCTCTACAGGTTGTCACCTCTCCCTCAAGTCCTCTCCTCACTTCTGCCTTGGCTAATTATGGCTTGATCTGTCGACCTGTGCTCCAGTGATGCCCACCCCACCCTCACACTGGCAAGCCTGCCAGAGGCCTCCCACCACCTGGCTTAGCATCTTCCTCAGTGCTCCCACAGCCCCCAGCTGCCCTCAGCACACCAGCACGCTGCTGCTCCTGAGCGCATCCCTGCCGGCCTGAGCCTAGTCCACGCAACAGGGACTTGAAGAGCCCACCTGTCAGTCTTTTAACTTTCTCTGCTTCTGCCATAAGAGGAGGGGCAGTGCTTACTGATTTGGGGGCCACGTATGATCCTGACAAGGTGCCCACGCCGCTGGTCAGGTCAAAGAGGTCACTCAGGCCACTGCCCATCGGTGCTCCTAGGTTGGCTGGTACTGCTGCTGCTGGGGGTGCTGTGAAGTTGGAACCCCCAATCTGGCAAGGAAGAGAAAGGGGGCAGAGGCAGGCATCAGACATAGGGGCGCTAGGGGCTCAGGATAAGCTGAGTGATCTGGTTCTTTAGAAATAAGGGGGTGGGGCAGGAGGGGCACTGCAGAGCTGCCTCTGTATCAGCGCTACGGTGCAGGAACAGGCAGCGAGTTGGGTAAAGAAATCGTTGTACACTGCATGCTTTGAGCCTTACAGGTGACCTTTGGGAAAGGGCTGGAGACACAGACTAAACTCGGCCCGCAGAGAAAAGGTGCACCTGAGCGCTAGGTGGGAGTGCACCCCTAGGATGCCGGAGAGGGCTGTGAGGACTGAGAGGGCCGGCAGCCCTCAGGACAAGGCAACATTGTCAGCAGGTGGGAAGGGCAGGGCAAGGGCCTCATGGATGTAGGCCCAGGGATAGCTAGACGGCAGTGGCGAAGGCACAGGCTGCCAGGACACTGGACGGAGCCCAGGCGCGGCAGGGAGGGACTGTTCTCATCACCCACCCCTGGGATATGGGGCCAGAGCTCTTAGGAGCATGGATGAAGAATTGGCGACACAGGGTGGAACCATACCCCTTCAGGCTCATCCCCCATCTCCAAGCAGAAGCAGGCAGGGTGAAGAAGACAGGCAGCCACATGCAGAGAGAAAAGCCAGGAAAAAAGACAGAGAGACAAGAGAGAGGGAGGGAAAGAGGGACAAGATTAGTCACCGCTGCTCCATCTGAGATGAGTTGGTGTGAGGTAGTGCTGGGCCTAGAAGCCAGACCACAAGCCCTGTGAAAGCATTGCCCTGACCTCACGACCACCCCCCTCCCCGCCCCTTACCCACCTGTTCTGTGCCACTGCTCAGCCCTTTCTGCCCTTTTCCATGCCACACTAACTGCCAGACTACTAGCCTTGTGTTACAGCTTGGGGACCTGGGCCAAGGATGGCCAAGCGACAGCGGCTATGCTGACCAGCCTACCTGCTGACTAGAGAAGCCACAGACAAATACCCGGGTTAGCGTAACCACCCCCTGCCTCAGAGGAGGCCTGCCCTGGCCTCTCCCAGCTACATCTGCTGGGCTGCTGTGACCTGCCTTGGTGAGGTCAAGGTTGAGTAGACACAGGTTTGGCTCCTCTAAGCCTGCGGGGCAAAGGGCCTAGGTGGAAGGGGTTAAGAATTACCCTACACTGCCCCCGGCTTCTTGGGGCTCAGTGGCCCACCAAGGGGCTGACTCCTGCACACGGCAGCTGTGTGTTATTGGAGGTAAAGCAATCTGATGGCTCTAAGCCTGTTTTCTCACCTATAAGCAGGAGTTACATGATCACCTTCGCAGGCAGATGTACCTGAGGTCCTTGGTTGGTGCCTGGCACAGAGAGGGCATTCAATGACTGCTCCTCTGAAGATTGTTATCAATGTCATCTAGAAGGGGCCCAGGACATACCAAGCTGTCGAGACCACCTCCAAGTAGGTCCACAGCTCCCATCTGAACAGAGGCGGCGGCCAGGGGAGGGCCACTGACTGGGGGCCCAAGGTCCAGGTTGAGCAGGTCGCCCAGCAGGTCGCCCTGGCTGGGGATGACATCTGGCTGTTCCCCAGAGGGCGCTCCAGCAGGGGCTGTCTCAGGGCTCTCTGCACTCTCACTCCTACAAGGACACAGGCGGGAGACAGTCAGCAGCTGGTCTCAGGGATGTCAGAGTCCACAGTCTCCAGGATCCGTCCTATGTCCCAGATGGAAGTTGTCCACACCCCCTCCCCCCTCTCCCCCCACTGCCCTTCCCAAGCCTGCTCCATCTTTTCTGCTCCCCAAGAGACCTAGCTTCATGGGGATGAGGGAAGGGAGGAACTGTCTGTTTCCACCACTTAACCCCCTTAAAGAGAAGACTGGATGCCCATCCCCAGAGGACTGGACAACCAGGCCAAACTAACTACTGTCCTTGTTTGTTAAGTGGGGACATCTCTCAGTTCTGTTGTAAGACCAAATGAGGTCTCTGGTCATCATGTGGTGTGGAGAAGCATTCAATGAAAGGTCACTAGACTGTAATTTTTTTCAAACTTGGGCCCTGTCAGGGAACATCACAAGGGGCCTGAGAGCCTATTTTGCTTCACTATGGAACTGGTGGGGGAGGTCCGCTTTACTCACGAGGCGGTGCGGGGTGGCAAGCTCTTATGTACAATGCCACGGCCTCCCTCCACAAAGGCACTGGGTGGCTTGTGGTAGACAGAGGCCAGTGTGCCAATGTAGCAAATGAGCTCATCCAGCAGCGTGGGCTCAATGAGGTCTGTCTCTTCAGAGATGAGTGGTTTCTCAGCCAACACCACCTCCTTGGCGGCCACAGGGTCCGTGGAGAGCAGGCGCCAGTAGATGTAGCCCCGGTCCCTCAGGTCTGGGTTGTCTGAGTCCTTGGGGGTTGATGAGAAGTCCATGAAACTCAGAGCAGAGAAACTGGGAGAGGGGAAAGGAGGGGCCCAACGCACAGCCACGTGGTCACGGCCCTCATGACAGCTCCTGAGACTCCCATGAGCCTGCCTCTGAGCTGCTTAAATGGACAGGGTCCAGCACCCTGGCTGTCCACTCTCGCCTGGACTCAGGCAGGCAATAACCACTCTCGTCTCAATTCCTGCCCCCATACAAACCCTCAGGTTCTCCTGGACTTTCTTCTCTTCTCTTGTTTTGAATCTGTCTCAACTGACCCCGCTTCATGATTTAATTGTGACTGAGTTTCCTGAGTAGGGAAAATGCATTACTCTGGAGCCTTTAAACCCCCAACGGTGACAGCCCTGGGGGGGATCCATGACAGGCACAGTGGGAAGCAGAGGGGCCCACCTGAGTGGCCAAGCTGAGGACTTGCTGCACCAGCTCCTGGGTCTCCGTTGGCTTCTTCAGAAAGAGTTTCACAATAGCTGTCAGCAGCTGCAACTGGACCTGCAGGGTAGCAGAGAGGAGATAAGGAGTTAAGTGCGGGCTTCATGTGGGCATGGATAAGGAAACTAAAAGAGGGCTTCAGAGAGGGAAAAGCGTGTTCAAAGGCCCTGGAAAACAAGGCCAGCTTCCCAGAGCTAGTGGATGGTCATGGAACTCAGGCTTAGGCCAACAGGGGGTGTTGTGCTGCCAAGCAGCCCAGACTTCAGCATCACTGCTCAGGAAAGGCAGCACCACTATCCTACTAGCAACCCCAGGCGGGCCGGGGGCAGCTGCCCAGCCCATGACTTTAGAAGGCAACATGTGTGGCTGGTTTGCTTCTTAAAAGGATTTCTTTTCAGCAAGCTGAGGTGGCTAGCAGGGCCCACAGAACCAGCCCCTGGTCGAGCAGCAGAGCTTCCACCAGAAGGTGGGACCCATTCGTGCTCAGCTTTCCACCAGCAACCCCTCCCAGCCGCAGCCTCAGCTTCACCCTCACCTCCTCACACCTGGAATCCTCTGCTGACCCCAGCCCACGCCCACCAGCTTCTACAGTCTTCTGCGCCCTATGTTTGGTGCCACCCCCAGGGTTATAAATGCCTCCGTCACCGAGCTGGCCTATGGAGTGTCCGTCACTGTTGTGTCCCTGGTTATTGCTCAATCTGTTGCCTGGAGCATAGCAGGCACTTTAAGAAAACTGGCTAACTGGAAAACACCTCTGAAAGAACAATTCACTGCACACAGTCCTTCCTCAGTCACATCTCATTTTTAGTAGGAACCAGAAGGCAGCGTGAGGCTTCTGAGACAGGGCCAGGCCGTACCGGGCCGTGCCATGCCAGGACAGGTCTGCGGCAGAAAGGCAGGCGTGGGGCTGGCAGCACCTCCCGGCCTGTCTGGCAGAAAGGCACTTACAGAAATGAATAGCTTAATTACCCTTGTACATAGACAGGCTGACAGCAGAAGGCAGAACACAGGGGGTGAGGTCTGTTTCTGGGATTAAGGGATTCATAGTCTGTGCAACTTGGCTCCACACTGGCCAGTGGCTGAGCAGAAGCGGGCCAGTTGTTTCCAAGGCAGGAGGCTTGGCTGCAGCCCTTTCAGTGGTAGAGAAGATGGCATTTAGCCTCAGTCTATGAGGTACATGTGTGGCCTCCTTTAGGTAGTTCTCATGGGCTCTGAAAACACTTGTGGCAGCTTACTTGGAACTCGAGTTAGAGTACACCTCACTCGGACTCTTGTTCTATTACTTTCCAGCTGGGGACCCTGGACCAGTCACTTCACTTCTTTAAGTCTGTTTCCTCATCTATACCTCCTATATCTCATGGCTTAATGAAAGAGATGAGAAAATAAATGTCATCATCATGACATGTATCATCTGTCGTCATCATGATGACAACTGTTGTCACCGCCTATGTGATGATCACTATCACCATGACCACCACACAGGCACCGTCAGCCACTCTTCCCCATCAGGTCAGCCGGCCGGCTGGACTCACTCATCAGTCAAGTCTGCTTGGTGGCCTGGAGCTCTGGCCACAGCCCAGCTTCCCTATCCCTCACCATTCCCCATTGACCCACATGTTTAGGGGAGCCCTCCTGCAATGATGCCCACCCTAACCGTCCAATGGGCATGAAGCAGGCTGGACAGCTGTACTACTCTGGTCAAGACTTCCTCAGCTCCCTGCTCCTGACTAGAAAGACTGGCCAGAACTCGAGATAATTTCAAATAAAACCCCAAATGGTAAAGTATTAAGTATTCTTTTTTTTTTAAAGATTTATTTATTTATTCATACAGAACTGGGGTACAGGCCAGATTTGTGGAGGGTGAGAGGATTCACCAGGAACAGAGTGGGGAGCAGAACAGGCAGATTGATGAAGTACACTGTTGAGGGGAGCAGTGGGTGGGTCAGGAGAGGTCTGCCATGCCATGTGGATCTCCTCCTGGGTAGGCGGGGATCGAACTCATGCGGAATTGGCTTAAGCTTCTTAGTGCAGTGCTTTACCCCACCGCGCCACCAGGGAGGGCCCGTATTAAGTATTCTTATTAAAGCTTTCAACTGTGGGCCTTCCCTGGTGGCACAAGGGGTTAAAAGCACAGCACTATGAAGCTATCCATAGTCACTGCAGCATGGTTCCATCCCCAGCAAGGGAGCTGACCCACATGGCATAGCAGACCCCTCCTTTCTCCCCGCTGCTCCCCTCAGCAGTGTGTCTCAGTTATCTGCCTGCTCTGCTCCCTGTGGTGTCTGGTGAATCTTTTCATCCCTCACACCTCTGGCCTGTACCACATGCATAAATAAATAAATCTTAAAAAAAAAAAAAAAAAGCTTTGAACTGTGTTATGAACTCAGGAGACAAAGGGAGCAGACTGCTTAATGACAACATCACCACCCAGTTACTGTTTGCTGAGCACGGAAGTAGGCAGTTTACACACGTCATCAATTATACTTTGAAGGAGCCCTGTGCTGGAGACAAGGAAACAGGGTGGGTAAGTTTAGCACTCTTGTAGGCCTACAAGAGAAGCCTAGGCCAGAAACTTCACAGTCCTGTTTCACTTCCCCAAACCAGACTTACCAGACTCCTGATCCATTTTTCTTTGTTCGACTTCTTTTTTTTTTTTTTCCCCAAACATCATTTTATTTATGCATACGAGAACTGGGGAGTAGGCCAGAGATCGAGGCGGTAAGAAGATTCACCAGAGACAGAGTGGGGAGCAGAACAGGTAGATCTACTGGAATATAATGCTGAGGGGGGCTGCAGGCCGGACAGGAGAGAGGTCATGTGACTCACCATATGGGTCAGCAACCTGGGCAGACAGGGGACTGAGCTCATGCTGCAGTGGCGGCAATAGTTTGACTTGAGTCTTAACCCCTGCGCCACCAGGGAGGCCCCTGTTCAACTTTTTTAACACTGCCTTTTTATTTAGCAGGCTTGGTGGAGAAAGGAAAAGATGCAAAGATATACTCTAATATCTTTATATTAGACATATATTACACAGGTGAGCAGAATCACCTGTCATAGGACATCCCCTGCAGGAATCCTGGGAGACTGACTGGAGTACAGAAGCCACCCCAGGCTACACTTTATTTCTCACAGACAAGAGAGAGAGGCTGGCATGGGGAAATGAAGGCGGCCCTGGGGCCGGCTGGCAGTTGGACCTAGCAGGCAGCATCTGGGAGTGGGTGTTGGTGGGAAATATTACTATTACTTTGTGATGGACATCTGCTGCTTTTGCTTGCCCAGAAGCTATTTTCTTCTGCTAACAAAAATGCTGGCTTTCACCCTTCTCTCTGCCTCCTTCAGTGGGCATGTGACTGGCCAAATGGCGTTACAGATTCAGGAGAATGTGAACAGGCCAACTGTTGCTGAAACTACTAGAGAGAAAGCAATTTTAGGAGCTGCTAAGCTGAAGTGTTGACCACTGTGGCTGCACTTATGGGAGAAGCCATCCCAAGGAGGCAGAGATAGCTTAATACCATTGTCTGAGCACCCTTACCCAGGGGCACGGGAAAGGAATACAGTTTCTGGGCATGCCAGCTACAGTTGGTCTCCTTTTTTGCCTGGATCAGTTTGCGTTTAAACCAATTCTGACTGTCACCAAACTACTGTTAGTTAGTTCTTAACAGGGCAAGTATTTAGGACATGGCATCCCACTTAACAGGATGAGGAAAAGTCTTATGACTCTCATTTATGGGAGGAAACTGAGGTTCAGAGAAGCAGAGGATGAGTGTTGTAAAAGTCACCAAGCTGGGAAGGGGCAGAAAAGGGGCTTGAGCTCTGGGGATTCTCTTTCCAAGGTAAAGTTCTGATCTGCTAGGTTGCACTGTCCCAGATGGGCAACTAAGATTTCTGTGCTTACAGACATTTTATAAGCCCTTGTGTATGAGTAGACAGTTCCCAGTTCACAGAAAAGGGAAAACAAATCAAACAACCCCAATCAGAACAGAAATGCAAAACAAAACTACACTGAGGTATCCTTTGTTATCCATTTGATTGATAAAAATAAAGTCTGAGGCCCTCCCTGGTGGCGCAGCGGGTTAAAGCACAGCACTGAGAATCTAAAGCCGCTTCCGCATGAGTTCGATTCCCGCCTGCCCCGGAGGTGACCACCATGGCGTGGCACCCCCCTCCTGACCCGCCCGCTGCTCCCCTCAGCAGTGTGCTTCGTTGATCTGCCTGTTCTGTTCCCCACTCTGTCTCTGGTGAAGCCTCTCACTGCCCCTGAGCCTCTGGCCTGTACCCCAGTTCTGTATGCACAAATAAATAAATCTTTAAAAAAAAAAAATAAATAAAGTCTGAGGTTACACTAGTCTGAAAAGGAATAAAGATTATCCACATCCAAGACAGGATGTAAATTTGAACAATCTCTACACCAAAGGAACTCAGAAGTGACCCAAGTCTCTAGTGCACAGGTACCTTTATCTAAATATTCAATATAGCTGAAGACTTTATTCTTCAGCTATATTGGTGGGTGTGTCTTACAAAGGTATGTATAGCAGTGTTTTTTAGTTTTTTGTTTATTTTTTAAAAAGATTTATGCATACAGAACTAGGGTACAGGCCAGAGGTGCAGGGGTTGTGAGAGGATTCAGCAGAATGGGGAGCAGAACAGGCCGAATGACGAAGTACACTGCTGAGGGGAGCAGTGGGCGGGTCAGGAGAGATCTGCCGTGCCATGTGGATCACCTCCAGGGCGGGGATCGAACTCATGTGGAAGTAGCTTTAGTTTCTTGGCACTGTGCTTTAACCTGCTGTGCAACCAGGGAGGGCCCCTAGCAGTGTTTTTTTAAAAGATCAAAGCATGGGTCTCCCTGGTACATAGGGATTAAAGTCCCTGGTGCTATTGTGCTATTGCCACTGTGGCCTGAGTTCGATCCCAAGCTAGGGAGCTGGCACACATGGTGCAGCAGACCTTTCCTGTTTCACCCCTGTTCCCTTCAGCAGTGTGTTTCAGTCAATCTGCTCCCCACTCTGTCTCTGGTGAATCCTCTCACATCTCCCCACATCTGGCCTCCACCCCAGTTCTTAAAGGCATAAAAATAAATAAATCTTTAAAAAAAGAATTGTTTTCAAGTATAGTGTTCAAGTGGTGTCTAGTGTTCCTGAGCACAGGAAGGCTGTGAATGTATTTATAGAGAAAACACATGAATTAGGAAAGCATTAAGAGTGCTGTTGGCCATATCAGGGTCAATGGTCATGAGCAAGTGACACTGAATAAGGCGTCTTTAAGTAGCAACACACATAACACTGGCTGACCAGTTGACAAGAATGTTGTGACCAGAGCCTTGTAGAAAAATAATTCTATATTTCTACTAAGATCACGGTTCAATACTTGCTAATTCAGTATTTGTGGTGACTTTATAGAACCATGAGTAATGAGAAACACTGCTATCTGTATACATGCTTATGTATGTCCCCATGTGTGTCTGCTGGTATATTTCTTAACTATTCCTGAAGTATTCCCAAGAAGCCAAAAAATACTATTGGAGATCTCAGGAAGAAATGGGCAGTGAGGAAAGCAATGGAAAATAAGACTTTTCTCTACCCAAAGAAAAATAAGAAATTGAAACAAACACAGGAACTTTTGCCTGCATTCAGTGCATACCACAGTCACAGGTCAGTCCTCACACATCCCTCTTAGGGACTGGAGCACGTGTGAGAGAGAGGCCCCATCTATCACCCACACAGCACCTCTCAGTGTGTGCAGTTAACAGGGGCAGGGTCCTGAGACATGCTGGCCTAGGGAAAGACTTCTGTGAAGGAGGGACACTGTAGTGCCAAGATGCCAGTCATGAGCTGGCTGCCTGACAACTCACCTGGGTGCTCTCGTCATGGAAGCCCTCGAGGAAGCTCTCTAGCAGCTCGTCCGCATTGTCAATTCGCTCAGCGTATTCGCCTACAATCCAAATCATGGCAGCCCGGGCCTCAGGCTCATCTAGGGAGTCCAGATTCTCACACAGTGTGGCGATAACACTCTCATACCTGAAGATCAGGGCACAACTGGCATATGAGCAAGTGAAGGGCAACTCTGGGGATGCCCAGCAGAGAACAAAAAAGACAGGTCCCTGGCAGGGTTTTGCCCTACAAGCCCCTGAAAGGTGAATAACGGGGCTTGACTTGCATTTGTTACATTTTTTTATTTTGGTGTAAGGAGCAGAGGCTAGGCAGTTCAGGAAAAATAAAACAAGGGATTTCTTTTGAGAATACTGTGTGTGGAAGAAATGTAAGGAAGTGGGGAAAGGCTCCTCCTTGCTTTTCCTTCCCACTCTCTCTGGCCCCAAAAGAGTCACATCACTCTCACTGGGAGCGGCAGGCACGTACTTGTTTGGGTACTTTCGGAAGATGTCCTTGATGACCACGATGGCTTCCTGGACCACGTAGTTGACCTTGGTCTGGATGAGATCCAGCAGTGTGCTCACACAGCGCTCTGCAGATTGCTGTGTAAGGAGAGTGTGGACAAAGCCCTGTACCCACGGCCAGCAGTCTAGTGACTATACCTTGGCCAAGGGCTCAGCCATGCTTTACCCAAAGGACATTATCTCAAGTAATGGTGGAAAATAAGCACAAGATGATGGCCCTGGAATGGCAGGGACACAAGGCAACTGAGTTGGACTAAGGGGAAGGTCGGGGCAGAACTTCTCATAAGAGGGGGTCCTTGGAGCTCCTCTAGATCTCCCTGAGGAGAGAATGACTGTGGTCTAGTCCGGCCCTACCTCACTTCTACTTGTTTTCCAAAATGGGCTCCTATGACCAAAACCCCTTTAAGAGTCCCACTTGGACCATCCTTCTCTCTCAGTCCCCTTTATTCCAACTTGCTTAATGCTTTTGTGGGAAAGATTTCTCTTCACATCACAGGTACCAAGGGAAAAACACCTCACGGGTTAGGGCTGGGTTGTCCAGCTGTCCCAGGATGCCAGGATTCTCTAGCCCCCAGATGACCCACTGAAGAAGTGGGTCATTTAAGAAGTCAAATTCAGTGAGTGGGAGGGAAGGAATGCCAGGACACAGGCATTTGGATGGCCTGTGGGAGCTTGGAAAACGTAGCCCATGTATAACTGAATCATGAAACCTGTCAAAACATTCAACAGGCAGAGTACCTGTCCAGAATCCACAAAGCTGAAAGTCAATTCTATCCGGGCCACCACCAGTTCGCCCCACTGTCTTAGCTAATGCTGCAGGGGGACCTATTATTATGATGGGTGAATTTCATACATGGCAACTCAAAGGCCTAAAGGTTACAGAGTGAAAAGAACACAATCAAATGTGCACATGGGTGCTGCAGGCTCCAGCAGTGGCCCTTGGGCTTCCTGGACTGCCAACAGCTGGAAGATTCTGTTAAAATCAGACTGGTTTCCTGCGTTCAGCTTCCTTTCTCTCCCCACTTCCCCTGTCCAGGACAAAGTGCCAGAGCCTCACCTCCACCTTGATGGCACAGCGGCCGATGGCGCGAACAGCCTTCCGCACAAAGTCCACGTCCACCTCAGTTGCATATTCTTTCAGCTCTGCCAATACCTGTGACCCAAACAGAGAAGAGAGGGTTTTCAGCAGACAGACCTTGATCTTCGGGACATCCTGTCTTTTCCCAGACCTGAGATCCCAGAGCACTATGGGCAATCAAGTACCCAAGGGTGCCTCGAAGAATCAGATTCTCTCTCTTGCTCAAAGTGGAAGGGTTAAGGGAGGCAGAGAGATGTCAGATGACCCAAGAGGAAAGAAAGGAAGGATTAACTCGCAGCATTGGTCAGTCCTTGTTTTAGACTGATCTTGCTAATATAGCTACATAACCACTACTTTTTAACAGGTTGATAGATGATAGTAACAGCGAAAGCAAATTTTTTAGTAGAAAAATACTACTAGGGAGAGCAAATTCTTTAGTACAAAAATATCAGTTAACATTTGCTGAGTGCTTGTTTACAGAGTCCCATGCCCCCAAACCACAGGACTCTTGCTGTCAACACCAAACCCCAGGTCCTTGGCCACTGTCTTCTGCCGACCTGGGCGATGTTGGCCTGAGAGGCCAGACGGATCATGATGTCCAGCTTCTCCAGCTTCACGTAGATGGGGTCATTGTATTTCACGAAGAACACCTTCATCTCATGCTTCAGGATCTCAGGCCTGGGGGTGAGACAGGAAGGCTCAAAGAGCAGTAAGCCCTGTGAGGAAACTCCTTCTACCTCTACTGGGACATTTCAGGGGCCTGAAGTATTTTTCGTACATCTGCCTGTTCTGCTCCTCGCTCTGTCTCTGGTGAATCCTCTTACCCTTCCGTACCTCTGGCCTATATCCCCATTCTTGTATGCATAAATAAATACATTTAAAAAATAACAATTGTGCAGAGATTGTACATATAGTATGACCTGTTTAACACCCACTCCCTTTTTGATTTCCCTTAGAATTTTGGTAGGTGTCATGCCTACATGACTAGCCCCCAAAGAATCCAAGGCGCTGAACCTCAAATAGGCTCCCTGAGCAGAAGTATCGCATGCTGCTGCACTTTGTTGCCAAGGAGTATGCTATGTGACCCCCCAATGGAAGGGAGTATAGGAAACCTGCACAAGAATTGCTCCAGACTCCACCAGCATCCTTCTCCCCTCAGCGTGTACCCTTACAACACTAATAATAAATCTTTTTTTTTTTTTTAAGATTTATTTATTTATGCATGCAAGAACTGGAGTGTAGGCCAGAGTTACAGTGGGTGAGAGGTTTCACCAGGATCCACCAGAGACAAAGTGGGGAGCAGAACAGGCAGATCTATTCAAATATACTGCTAAGGAGAGCAGGAGGAAGGTCAGGAGAGGTCTGCTATACCATGTGGGTCACCTTCCCAGGCCAGGGACTGAATCCTCTCACCTCCCTACACCCCACTCCTCTGGCCTGTATCCCAGTTTTTGTATGCATAAATAAATAAATCTTTAAAAAAAACCTTAGCTGTGAGAATTATATATTGATTCCTGAGTCCTAGTCAGTCACTAGAAGTGGGGATGGTACTGGGGACCCTGGCACTGACACCTATGGAAAAGGGCTGTTCAGAGATATATATGGAAACATCTAGTATGACCAATGCCTGCCTCAGACAAAGCACTCACCCCCTCGCTGTCACCAGCCCGTACTTCCAGCCCTCAACTGGCACCATGCACCTCACTCTTGTAAGAGGAGAAGTCCTCAGGGCGCATCTAATGTTAATAAGGCCAGGAGCAACATCAGTGACCACTGACAAGTACTCCTATGTCCTTCCCAGAAGAGAAAGGAAAACAGACAATAAATGGGGATGGTAAAGGGCCAGTGAATGAGGCAGGATTCCAAGCTGGGCACCAGGAAAGCTTAATTTCTGTGATCAGAACTTGGCAAA